TTGAACCACCAGCCTTCTGGTTAGCAGTCAAGTGCCTTAGGCACTATGCCACCAGAGCTCCTAGCACAGTACATAGAGGATAGTAAATACCCAGGAAATGTCTCTTGAGTCAATGAGGTTCTAGGCTAAAAAGGAGAAGTTAGAAATTGGTGATCCTGTGAGAGGGCACAGAAACTTTGGCACACAGAACGAGACATCTGCTCAGTGAGATTCTCATGGTAAAGAATGTAAAATCTAGTCGGATGCCAGCAGGAATCTTCGGCAGAAACAACTTGAAAGCTCTAATAAACTAAACCAAACCAATCCCACTGCCATCAAGTTCATTCCAACTCATAGCGACTCTGTAGGGTTTTCAAGCCTGTAAATCTTTATGGATGCATCCTGTCTCATCTCTCTCCCACAGAAGTGGCTGGTGGGTTCAAACTGCTGACCTTTTGGTTAGCAGCCAAATGCTTTAACCACTACCCACCCGAGCTCCTTTGAAAGCTCTAACAGTTTGTGTGAAAACATTCTATTTCAGTTGGGGTAGTTTGTATATTTCACTGTTTTCCTTTTTTCTGTTTGTCCAGAAAATAAAGCACTTAAAATTCAGACAAGTGGAGAGATAGATGCAGCTGAAAAAGTGGATTTAGAAGAGCTGATTCACTGTGCGACTGGAAAAATGGAGCTTTACGCAAATTCCGACATTTCAGAGCAAATCGAAGGCAATTGTGAGATTGTGAATGAGCTAGTTGCTGCCTCCACCAAGAAAGGCCAGATGAAGAAGAAAAGGTTGAGTGAACTGGGAATCATGCAAGCTGATGACAACTTAATGTCACAAGAGATGTTTATTTCTATTGTGGAAAACCAGTTCAGGTGGAATGGGAAAGGGAGTTTTGGCACATTTCTTTTCTGACAACTATACTGTGAACAGGTATCAAAATATTGGATTTTGCACGTGCTGCCCTGAGAATCACCGCTGCTGTCGTAGTTTGCTTCTTGTCTGTATCTGATGTTCGGTGCACTCCGTTGGGTTTGAGTGTTATGTAGATGTATTTCTGTCGGCAGATATTGCACAGAAGACACTCCCCCTTTATAAGGAAGGTCGTTAAAACATAAAATAGAAAATATTTGGAGAGTTTTTTTTTATTATTATTATTTAGAAAGTCATCTTTCCTAGACACATCGTTCTCTCATATTAAACCTGTTTGTAACTTTCTAGTGTAAATACACTTTAATCCAGCACTTCAAAGAGAAGGCGCAAAGCCAGAATGCACGCTGAGTGCATGGAAATGTGATAGGGGTCATACGTGCACTGCTCTTCTCATTGTCGTCTTTTTATCCCAATTTCAGTGAGTTTGATTTCCAAGTGGTATTTGCATAATACTTGCCTTAAAATAAAAGCTTTTATGATTGGGAAGTTATCTGCCTAATCAGACTTATTATTGAGAATCTGAGTGGGTTGCATTTTTATGTTAAACTGTGCAATCATTAAAATGGTAATAGATAGCAGAGCAGGTTTGAAGCAGAAATGAAAGGTATTGTTCAGAGCCAGTGTGTACATAAAGCATTTTCATTTATTGCTGAATATGAATGATTAAAAAACAAGTATTTTTCTTTCACCCTGACAGTATTCTGATCAAATTTCTTCTCTTCCAAAGTCAAAGTGATTACCTGTACAACCTGTATTAGTTACATGTTCTTGATATCATATTGTAAAACATAGCTTCTAAAAGTATTTATATTTAAAAAAGTATATGTGACATTAATATGCCTACTGATTAAAATTATACCAATGAAATAATGAGCTTGATTCATGTCATCTCTTTCCAAACCAATTACGGGCCATGGTGTTAGTAAAACACAGATGATCCTTTGAAGTATACACAGTATTTTGGTTGTGCTTTCTAGTGTTTCAGAAAGGATACTCAATTTTCTTTTGAAATGCATTTATGTTTGTTTCGTAATTTTGGATATATAATAACTTCCTTGTCAGATGTTATTTAAATGTGGAGGGATTTATGTGAGATTTATTGTTTGGCCATGTATTGCTTGGTATTATTATTTTTCTTCCTTTTATTTTTAATCCTGCTGCATGGAGGCTTAAAAAGTAATGTTAATTAATTCTCTATCAGCTTCAGCCAAACACTGATTTGAAAATCATTTATTCAACTTTTTTTTTTTAATCAAATAGATTTTTTCAGTTGTATTTCTACTTTGTCTTGGAATTCAGATTTTGTGTATTGTCTTATAATTGCTAGAGTGTCAAAGGGATGATATGGTTCTGTAAATAAAGCTAATGTCTTCTTTGCTTCTTTATATAGCAAAATAGTGTTTTAGGTTTTAGTTCAGTTCTACTTTAGTTTAAATCTAAACTTTTATTAATTTTTACTCAAGGAGCTCTGGTGGCATAGTGCCTAAGGCATTTGACTGCTAACCAGAAGACTAGTGGTTCAAATCCAGCAGCCATTCCTTGGAAGGAAGACTGGGCAATCTGCTTCTGTAGAGGTACTGCCTTGGAAACCCAAGGAGGGGTTGCTATGAGTCAGAATATTCAAATAATCAATTATTAATGACTAGACTTAATGTATTCTTATTTAAGATTACTGTACATAGTATATAACTCATAGTATATGAGTTGGAGCCAACTCGACGGCACCTAACAACAGAATACAGTTAGCCTCGGTCATGAAGAGTTAAACTCAGACCACTTAGTATGGTGAGAACCCTGGAGGAATGTATATTTGACATTTGAGAAAAAAACACTGACGTGGAAAAAGGGACTGTGTCTTTTCTGTTGGTCATGTTTCCACGATGTGCTGTCCTTATGGTATACCCTGGCTGTAACCTAGATTTCCAGCAGCCAGGCCCGGTACCTTGATTTGAATATTTTCTTTGCTTGGGATTCTTTGGGAGCACTTCTTGTCCTGAGATCTTGCTCTGTTACTGTAGCACAGGTTCATACATAAATGTATTTTCAAACACTGCCTACAGATGATGTGCTATCCAGGATATACACTTTTCTGGAGTTGTAGAAGGATGGGGAAGTAGCCACTTTCAGGATCTGGCTCTTAAAAGGGAGGTTGAAGAAGAGAGTTAAGACATTGAGGACCTAGCAGTAATCCTGCTTATCTTTCTTTATACAGTTGTCTCTTGGTATCTGAAGAGATTGTTTCCAGGACCTTCCCCCCACCCCCCAGAATACCAAAATCCATGGATGCTCAACTCCCTTTGTATAAAACTGCATAGTGTTTCCATATAACCTATGTACATTCTCCCATATAATTTAAATCATCTCTAGGTTACTTGTAGTACCTAATGTAAATGCTGTGCAAATAGCACTTTGTGCTCTCTAAGCCTTTGAGGGATGGCTTTGACCACTTAATTGCCTTTTTTATTATGTTTTTCTTGAATATTTTCAAGCCATCTGTAGATGTGGAACCCACAGATACGGAGGGCTAACTATAATTAAATTTGCTGTTAATTTCTCTTCCTTTTTAGCAAAAATATTCCACAGACTCAATGAAAGTTATGTTGGGGGTAAAAATTGAATATTAGGATTTGATGCAAATGCTATATGCAGAAGATTTGATTTTAAAACATTTTATTCTGTGATTTTTAAAAGATGAGTATGTCTAAAATTTTTTTAAGGACTTACACAGTAAAGCCTATGAGAGCCAGAGCTCAGTGTGACTGCCTTGTTTTTCCGGGTCTTGCAAGTTTTCTGCCTTTGACAGAGTGCACACATAATACTTTTCTATCGCTATTAGTGGAAAATATGTTTTGAGCTTTCCTTCTCTGAAAGGTTTCTGCTTTACACATTTTCCGGCTTTCGCAGGTTTTACTGTGTGTTAGTCTCTTCACAGTTCAGTAATAATGAGAACTTGTTGTTGTTGTTGTTATTTGCCATCCTAGTGCTTAGCTATCTAGTGCTGCTATCACAGAAATATCACAAATGGAGGGCTTTAGCAAACGAATTTATCTCCTCACAGTTTAGGAGGCTAGAAGTCTGAATTCAGGACACCGACTCTAGGGGAAGGTCCTTGTCTACTTTCAACATCTGTGGGCCCAGCTTCCTTGGAGATCTCTGTGTGTCTTAGCATCAGTCTTCGCTGGGTCTGGGAGGTTCTCAGTGCAGGGTCTAAAGGACACCCTCCACTCCTAGTTCTTTCTTGGTAGTACACCCACTTACTTATTGACGTGATTAGGTTCCAAAGACCAGATTGTTATGCAAAAATCAGTATTATGTGAGAATGGAGAATGACTACATCAGATCACAACATGAACAATGACTGCATCATTACATACTACCACATTTCATCATTACATAACTGCCAATTACATCATTGTGTAATTGCCAAAACACCAGGAATCATGGACCAGCCAAGTTGACACAACCTTAATCATCACAGTCAGCATTACTCTTGCCTCACACCTTGGCGTTCCTTACTACTGGACATTCTTTGTTAATGCACAAAATAGTAGATTTACTATTGTCATCAATGCAAAATGTTGCCTAATGAGATAGTTGATAAGTGAGGAGTAGGTGTAGTGAGGTCCCTCTTTTATCTCTTGTGAGATAAAAGGCATCACTCAAAGATGTGACCCTCTTTTTTTTTTTTTTTTTAATAATTGTGCTTTTAATTTACACAGCAGTTTATTTTATATTTAACAGTTCATGTACATTTGATTTCATGCCCTGATTACCATCCGCAGCCCTAACCCACTCTCTTCCCCTCCCTTCCCTGTGAACCCCCCTTCCCTGTGCCCTTCTTAACTATGTACTCCTGTCTGTCCTATGTACTCCTGTCTGTCCAGATTTCCTTCCAGGTGGATGCCACCCCTCTGGAGCCCCTTGGCCGATTGCTCCAAGGGATATATCTCCATAGAGTAAGTGGATGCATCACCCTGGGTTGGGTGTTCTGCATGTAAGTCTTTCTGCTGTGGGGCTGAGAGCCAATCCTTAGGAGTGAGTCCTATCGCAGGCCCAAAAGGTATTCCAGGGCCATAGTCCCACCGGACTCCATCTCACCAGTAATTCTGGTCATTACTGTGTTTTTGAATTTTGTTCACATTTTTCCTCCCACTCTATCAAAGATTTCCAGTTTTGATCCCTTTCTGAGTGGTTGGGATTGATAACCGGGTACCATCTAGTTCTGGTTTCAAGGTCCATCATATCCTTGGACTAATTGTTTCCAAATGCCTTTGATTTTCTTCACTCTTCTTCACTTCAGAAGAAAGCTTTTAAGACCCCAGTTGCTACTCACCAAAGTAGGTTGTGGAACAAGACTTTTACGTACTGTGTTGTGCCAAATGAGCTTGGTGTCCCCTGAGACTTTGGTCCTGAGTGAGCAGGCCCGATGAGTGTCTCTTTCAAGGTGTTTGGTTGCCTCTGAGGGATTCCTCCAATTCTCTCTTCTGTTGCTTCTGTAATGATTGTGGTTATTTTGTGTCACTGAGCTCTGGTAGCATAGTGGCTAAGATACTTGCCTGCTAACCAGACGAGACGGCTGGCCGTTGAAACCCAAGGAGGGGTCGCTATGAGTCGGGGCCGACTCGATGGCACATAACAACAACAACAATATCTATGCCAGATTATCTTCAGCTAAGTCTATCCTTGGTCTAGGGTGTATTCCTATTTGCTGACCCCCACCTGATCTTCTGAATTGTCTACACATTTTTCTGTAGCCTGGTGTTTGGTGTTAGTGGTAGTGCAGTATTGTGCATGTACTAGTATTTGCCTCTGTTGTCTGTATCTTATGTGCATGTTTTGGTGTCCTTCCTTTCCCCAATGTTATGCTGGTCACAGACTCCATACCGTCCCTCCCCTTACCCAAATCAACATGTGGCCTAGTCCGAAGTTTTCCCTCTCTTTCCCTCCCATCCCCGGTAACCTACAAAATGATTTCCCTTCCCTAAGTGAATCCTTCCTTGACTTTTTACAGTAATGGGCTTATACAATATTTGTTCTGCTATTGACTTACTTCACTCAGCATAATGTCCTCCAGGTTAATCCACGTTGTGAGATGATTCATGTATCATTCTTTAGTGTAGCATAGTATTCCATTGTGTGAATGTACCATAATTTGGTTATCCATTCATCTGTTGATGGGCATTTAGGTTGTTTCCATCTCTTTGCTATAGTGAATTGTGCTGTGATGAACATGGGTGTGCATATGTCTGTTTATGTCCTATCTCTTGCCTCTTTAAGATAAATTCCTAGTAATAGAATTGCTATCAAATGGTACTTGTATTTTCAGTTTTTAAGGAAACGCCATACCATTTTCCATAATGGTTGTACCATTTGCAGTCTCACCAGCAGTGCATGAAGGTTCTAATCTCTCTGCAACCTCGTCAGCATTTGTTATTTTCTATCTTGTTGGACTTTGCTATTATTGCTGGTTATTTTGTTTTGCATCTCTCAAATGATTAATGATTGTGAGCATTTCCTCATGTGTTTGTTGGCTGCCAGTATATCATGTTTAGTGAAGTGTCTGTTCATGCCCCGTGCCCATTTTTGAATTGGATTGTTTGTCTTTTTGGTGGAGGTGTTGAAATTTTCTATAAACTTTGGAGGTAAGTTCTTTGTCAGATATGTCATAGGTGAATATTTTCTC